ACTATTCAAATGGCCTGAGGTACTTAGAATAAACAGGCAGAGAAACAGGAAGCAGAACAGAGGCTGCTACCAAGTCTAGGTAGAGGGAGAATGGAGTTTATTCAATGAGCATATAGTTTCATTTTACAGAATGAAAACAGTCCTGGAGCTGAATGGTGGTGATGTTCTGATGATTGTACAATAACAATGAACTCCATAACACAGAACTATTCACTTAAAATAGGATAAAATGAGCCAGGGAGATAGCTCCGTAGAGTAAGTGCTTGCCTGGCAAGCACAAGGTCCTGAGTTCAATCTCTGTTAGGGGGAGGGGAAGACAAGATAAAACAAGCTGGGCATGGTGGTATGCATCTATAATCTTACTATCTGGGAGGCTGAAGCAGGAGGATCACTAAGTTCAAGGCCAGCCTGCACTACTTAGTGAGACCCCGTCTCAAAAAACGTTAAAACAAACTTTGTTATTATATATTTTACCACAGGGCCAGCCAGATAGCTCAGCAGACTAAAGTACCTGCTTAGACAGAGCCTAGCTGCCAGGGTTCAATGCCTAGCACGCCCTACCAAGTCCGGCCCCAGGGGTGTGCTGAGATGGCAATTGAGACTGGGCATGGTGGCGCATGCCTGTAATCCCAGCACTTGGGAGGCTGAAAACAGTAGGATCACTATGCGTCCGATCTACGTAGAGACCCTGTAGACTCTGTACTAAATACATTAAAAAATATATATATATATGATATATATGATATATATGATATATATATATATATATATATATATGTCTTGCCACAATGAGAAATTGGGGGAAAAAGTTAAGCATAAAACACAAAACTGACTTTAACAGAATGTAAGGTTTAGCAATTTAACACTGATTACTGGGGCCGGGGAGATGGTTCAGTAGAATAAGTGCTTCCTCGGCAAGTGCAAGGGTCTGAGTTCAGTCCCTGGTTCCACCAAAAAAACAACAAAAAAAACCAAAAATATACAACACTGATTACTTTCCTGTAAATTCTTCTAATGCATAAACAATAAGGCAAACCTTCACAAAACATCTCAGATAATATATAAACAAACGGGGTTCTCAGGAAGGCTTTGTAGAAGTTTGATCAGAGAGTTCTAAAATTGGTAATCAAAGACAACAATATGAAATGTATTAATTATTGTAACTGTCCTACTAACCTGTTTTGAAGCTATCTCATTCCTATTTGTTTCTCAATAAAATTAATTTTTTTTTTAATTTTATTTATTTGTGTGTGTGTGTGTGTGTGTGTGTGGCCAGCTCAGCCCACCAGGGGGCAGTGCTGGCTGGCATGTGGTGCTGGGGGATTGAACCGCGGTCCCTGTGCTTTGCTAAATTTGTTCTAAGTAGGTGCTTTAGACCACTGAGCCATCTCACCAGCCCTAAAATTAATTTTTAAAATGTTAATAAATAAATAAATAAAATTGCTAATCATAGTACCTGTCAAGCCACAGCCCAGGGACTGAACCCAAGGGCAGGCCCCGCTGACAACTGCACCCACCATGCAGACTTCAGACTGCCAACCTCCTGGACCCTCTCTCCCAGCACCAGACCCTCAAGAGCCCAAAGGCGTAAAGCGCCCAGCGATGAAGGAAGAGAACCACGCAGCCTCCCTCTGAGGTGTGTGCTGGGAAGAGAAAACGGTCAAAGTGTGAGCCCATCTGTGGGGGCAGCCGAAGAACAAGGGAGCAGACAGCTGAGAACAAGAGCCCTACTTGACTTTATGGATAAGAGCAAGATCCTGTCAGTTGGTTATATACCACCACAGCAAAAAGAATGCAGGAATCCCACTAGATGTCAGCTGTGCTTATTCCTGGGGAATCCCTGCAGATGCCCTCTGCAGCCACACCTGGAGATGGCTTCCCTCAGCCAGAAGGGAGGCCAAATGCAGGCCTTCTGGGTGACAGCAACAGCCTGAGCAGAAAGAACTTCAAGACAAGGTACTAATAAACTATACAGAATAGCTTCCCCCAAGGGAGAAGGACCTAGTGGCTTGATCTGTCCAGGTGATTGCATAGCAGTTTAGAGAAAGGCCCAAGACAAATGAATCCAAATGGAGGCAGGTGGTGTGCATGCAGCACATTGATTCTGGGATCTGACATATGCCAACATGGCTAAGCAACACTGTACCCACTAGACACATCCCTAGCCCCCTGAATCCAAATCCTCACTCAGAGACCCTTAGTCCCTCACCTGGACAAAGAAGCAGTTTTCTAGATTTTGCAAAACGGTAGACCTTTATCCTCCCCACCAACTCTTCCCAAGTCCCTGACACAAGTCTTCAGAACGCTGAGCTTTAGAGAGGCAGGAGTTTTAAACCACAGGTCAAACAAGACACTTGCTGTAACAGCATACCACCTTCTGTGCAGCTCCTCCAGGAACAATAAGTCTGCAGGGGTTATCAAACTGAAAGAAGGGGCTGCCATCATCGTCACCGATAGAGAACGGGCAGCAGGCTGGGTACTGGTGCCCACTCTCAATGTTCAGCAGCCAGGCCTGCAGGTGCACCCCACCAAGTCACTGTTCCCAGCCCTCCAATTTGCTGCACTCTCTCTCTAATGTCTGGTTCACAGCTTGCACCAGCTAGAACCGGCAAGTAATACTTGGAGCCAGCACAGGGTGCAGAACAGACTGCCTGGCTGAACAGTGCAACCACTTCCCTCATCTCACCCCATGAGTGACCCACACTAGAAGGATCTGGGTTTCCCCAGCTGTGCTATTTGAATCTTTTTTTTGTCACCTCTGCCACCAATAAAATGTCAGGAAGACAAAAGACACATCCATTCCTATTCCTACCACGGGATAGGCTGAGAAGAGACTAGGACTGAAGTTCTTGAGTTGGTATTTGAACCTAAATGAGAAAAAGCTCTTTATCCACAATCACTTCCAGCTGAAATATAGCACGCCTTCAATGTCGACAGCAGACAATGAGCACTGGGTCTTCTCCATCACCAGTGACAAGTATGTTCACAAAGAATTCCAGCTGTCATCGGAATCTCATCCCTCCTCCCCAAGGACTCCCAGAGCCACTCACTGCTGGGCCTCGTTACATGGTGAGACAACACAGGACTCAGACAGGTTCTCTTGCCAATCTGACGCAATATCCTGATGACTGTATTTAGTATCATTGGTTCTCTTCTTGTCCTATTTCATTTTGGCCAAGCAAGCATGAAAAACTTAAGGACCCTACATTTTAGCAGTTTCAGACTTTTTTTCTACAGTTTCAAACAGATGAACAATTTGCTTTTTGTTTTGTTTGTGGTACCAGGAATCGATCTCAAGATGTTGTGCTTGCCTGGCAGGCACCGTGTCACTGAGCTGTATCCCTGGCCAGGTGAACAATTTGCAACAAAAGTGAACGTTGGTGATGTTACTTGAACAGGAATGTTGTACTTTTATTTACAAGGACTTTGCAAAAATTAGATGCCCTGGCACAAGTATATGACCAAATGTAACCCAGAGCCCAGGAATCTGGGATCATCAACCACACAACTTGCACACAAACAAGGCTCTCATCACCTGCCATGTTTCGGGATTCTAAAGCAGGCTTGTATCTCTAAGGCTTCAACTCCAGGCTGCCCCAGCTAAGAAAGTGCCATGTCAGCAGGAATTGCCTGCATGTTGGTTTAGTGTACATAGCACAGCAGGGCAGTTCAGACTCAACAAACTGTTCTAACTAGATGATCACACATCATTCTCCCCACTAATAAAGGCAAGTGTGATGTAAGGCCGATGTGAGTCAGTTTGCCACCTTCCAAGCCAACCACACTGCAGTGTATCATCTATAACAGCAGTTCAAATTTTCCTTAAATCCATCCTTATAAATTTAAGGAAAGGCTGGAGACACAGCTCTGTGACCAGTGCGCTCGCCTACAATCTGCCAGGTCCTAGGTTCAACACTCAGCACTCCAACAACAGTAATACTTAATTAAAAGAAAGGTTTTATATACATATATATCAAGAAATAAGGCCCAATTAGATCTGACGATTTTTTCCACTCTTTCCTGCGAAGTGCCCACGTCTTCGGGAAACGCGTTACTTTCTTAAGAAGCTAAATCTACATCATCTGTTAGCCAGAACCCCTTACCCAGGTGAAGTCTATCCTAAACTGCTGCTGCCGGCCTGCGCTCAAATTCGGCAAACACACGCACACCTGCTCTCAAATACTAGCAGCACAGGTAGGCTCAAACATCCGAAGCAGAGCCCAGCGGGCAAGTCTCAGGCAGGGCCCAAAGCGAGGCATTTCAGGGGCACTACGAGGAAATACGGCAGTTTCCTTTTTTTCAATTTTTTTTTTTTTTTTTTCTTTTTTAAGTGGCACAATTTCTCTCCAAAGCAGCGTGAAAACCCAGGGAGCGGGCACATCGCGCCGAACTCTTGCTGAGTAGCTATTTAAACGAGCTCTTTCATATAAATAAGGCGTCGTAACTAATGCCGAGGACCCCACAGCCGCGACGCAGGCCCGGTCCGCACACGCGTCGGGGCGCTCCGCAGTGTGTGCCGCCGTCCCCGCGCCCCGAGGTGG